AGGTGAGGTCAGAATCCCGTTCACAAGGCCATCACACACATGTTCACCCAGGAATCCCTGTAAGCCTTGGATTTGAGCCCTACTTTACATATGCTTCACACAGACCGGCTGGGAAGCTGCCTTAAGACCTGGACGACTTGGCTTCCGCTCAAAGCACCAGCCCCTCACTATCACTATCCCTCACTATGACTATCCCTCAAAAATTAATTACTTTGGTCCGTCCCCTCAATAGCACTATCCCTGACTTTGGTCCGTCCCTCGCTTTGCCCATGTCGTGCCTGCGGTGTGGGCGGTGGTGCAGGGCAAGGGACTTCTGGTGCCGCCACGTTCGTGAGCACTGCTTCCATGACGGGTGCCTCGCGACGGTCCTTCGCTCCTCAGCATACTTCTGTCCTTATTTGCTTTATTTCTTACATGTGGGTGCTGTGTGATATTGTATGGTTGAGTTTTGGTGTCATTGCATATGGACCCACAAGAGGATTAGAGGATTCCCACTTGCTTCATGTTATTTCATGTTGGTTCTTGATAGTTCATGATGGTTCTTGTGCTGAGGAGCAGGCAACCAGTTGTGGGACCATATCAGGGAGCAGCATGATGAAGATGTTCTGGTGTCATGGAATGGGTCCCTTGGTCTGAGATGGTCTGAGAGTGATGATGATGACATTAAATGATTCGTAGTTTCAAGAATACAAACAATTACAAGCAAATTTAGTGCCATAGTGAAATAATAAACAATATCAAAAATATACATGCAAACGGGGTTTCTTTGAAGTTTTTTATTGTATTCACATGACTTCACAGGTATTCATGGTAGTTTGGTCAATCTTGGTTATGGTTTGTCTAGAACGGTCTAAAAATGTGTATGAGTGATTGAAACCTAATTTGCTGTTGCTTCTTGATGTCGTGACACCTTGCCAGGTGTCCAGTTTGCGCCTTGTCGTCTCCGGAGGCGGCCGGCCAGTCTTGCAGAATCTGGCCGAGGAAGGTGCTGGTCGTTGCATTTGGGTTCAACAGGCAGTATGGCCCCGAGAAGGTGACTCGCCCAGCATTGGAAAGCTTGTCATGGTTGTCGATGTAATGTGATGCCATCAGACTAAGAACATCAGAGACCCCCAAGAAATCCCAAGAACATCCAAGAATGGTAAGGGAGATTAGCAGAGTGTTGTGCGAGTCTTGTGCTGCCATCTGGCCAGTTCCTTGACCCGTCCTACCTGCCGGATACTATGGGCGTGCGGTGCCTTCGGTCAGTCATCACCCACAATTTGAACCTTGGTTACTATTATTTACTATCGAGTTGATGTGATTTGATTTTTCATGTTTGTTTTATTTTGTAGCATTTCGTAGCTGCTGTATGATGTTGTATGCAGTGGCCTTTCATTTTTCTTGCATTGTTTGATATTGTATGATATTGTTTCATTTTGTTGTGGAAGTTTTAGGAGTGCTTCACATGGTCCTTGCTCCAGACTGCTTTCCCCTGCTATGCTCATCTATGCTCTGAGGATGGCGTTGCTCCCGAACCCCGGCACGAGGGGAAGATACGGGCCTGGGTTGGCGGACGCAGGAGCATGTGTGGGGTCATGCCATGACCCAGCCGGTCCTGCTCACGATCCTGCTCCAGCCAGCAGCCTGCGTGATGCCCCTTGGAAAGTTTGGCAACCCTTTCAGTTTTTGATTTTTTGTCGTGTAGCCCTTCCAGGCCATTCCAGGATATTCCGGGCCCTTCCTAGCCTTGTTAATTTATGTTAAATTTCCATATTCCATCATGTTCCTTCATCATTCAGGATCGGATGCTCCGCGGGATTTCACCGGTCAGTCACGCTTGCGGTAGCATTGGCGGGGCTCTTGATCATGTCAGGCCGGCAGGCTGACATTGTATGGCTGGCCCGTCCAAGACGTTGGTGCTTTGATTGCTTATGGTACCTTATGGTGACATACCACGCCGATCCATGATGTACATGTTATATCATTTTATAGCAATGTATATCAGCTTATTGAGGTTTCTGCACACTGGGGCCAGTATCTGGAGAACGGGGAGCTTCCAGAAGGGCACTGCCGCCTGCAGGCAGCTCAACCTGCACAAAGCAGTTTCTATGCGTTAATATTTTTGCATAAAACATAGTGAAGCAGCATGCAACAGGACACAGCAAGTGATTTGGCATTGATTGGCCCGGCTTCATCATGTTTCATCAGTGGCCAAAGATTCCATGGCCTCTGAGGAGATGCAGGATGCTGCGGACATCATGATCGCCGCTCTTCCAGTTCTGGAGCCACCCAGGCCGCAGGACAACCCGATTCGGGTTGTGGACCGTCCGAGAGCCACAAATCGGACGGCGGACAATGCGGACAGTCTGGAGGAGCAGGAGTTCGAGCCGGATACTGGGTCAGTCCTTTGGAGGAAGGTTACCATGACAATCCATGACATACCATGGCAACATATGAGCAATTATGAACACATGCAGAATCATGTAATAACATGTAGCAAATTGTAACATGTTGTAACAACAACATACAACAGCCACCATCATCTATCATCAACATTCAACATCATTCAACTATCGCTCTGAAGCTTTTTGATGTCTTTTCATGCCGGATCATGCCGGCAAAATCCGGCAGGGCGGAGTTAAATTTTGATGAATTTTGATATGTTTTGCAATGAATCCATCTTCTTTTCTTGGCTGCCTTTACATGCCTTTACTATCCTTTACTTGCAGTTTGCCTCTTCAGGTCTTGGCGGACCGTCTGGTACTTCGGTGGCTTGACTCCTTATGGCTGCTGGACACCCCGTACCTGGACCGCCTCCGCGAGTTGGACTGGCTCCGACAGACCCGCATCCTGTGATCTAGCTTTGCTTCAACATGCTTTGGTTACTTTTGATTTGTGGAATTTGGGTCCCGTGGTTGTGTGGATAAGGTTAAATTGTGTGAATATGTGTGTATACATAGGCAGGCGCACGCAGAACAGGTTAACGTAGATATATAGATAGTGGTCAGGAAATATCACGAAATGTCGTGTTGCAGGAAGGTATTTTGGTACATATTTGGTGGGGTATGGTATGAGCAGGGTGTATGCATAATTATGACATATACATATATATATATATATTGTTGTTTTATTTAAATATTTTTGCCTAGATATGGACTGTTTGTTTCATTTTATACATGTTCTGATTTATGTTGGCGTCATTTGTGTCTCAGGTCACCAGGATTTAAAGCCTTTTATACATGACCCACTGCATCCCCTGAGTAGTTAGTGATGTGCACGATTGCTTAAACTATGATGCATTATATTCTTTTTATTGGGAGATGTTGGGAGATGTTCATACACTCTCATCACCAAGGCATGGAGCCGTCTTGTATCCTCTTAAAAACCTTTTCGCAACTTTTATCAATGCCCCACTGCTTTGCCCTCCTGAACCCACACTGATGCACATGCTTGCGAACATGTAGCACCATTGATCACAATCAGAATGGCCGACCACGTTCCCAACATTTCCCAACAAATCCCGACATACCCCGCATTACCCGCAATATACCACACATTACAACACCACGCAGTACATCCACAATTTCAACAGAGGAGAGAGGGCATCAGGGTGGACCATGTATAAAAAAAAGTGGGCTGCTTGTGAAAGTTGTGCGCAAATGTTCAGCGCACTGAATGCAACAACAAGAAGCTGCCTCACAGCTCCTTGTCTCTGCTTTGAAGCCATTTGATGCATTGTGGTCATTTGTGGTCAAGCACACTGTTTGTGCAGAAGTTCAGTAAATGGCAACACGTTTTCACTGAGGATGAAGCTGCATACGCGGTTCTCTGCGGCCAGTCCGGGGATGACCCAGAATCCTTGGCAGCGATGGAGGAGGCAGCAGGGCTTCCTGCAGTCGGCGATCAGGAACGACTTGGATGAGTTCTCGGGTCGCCAACGCGAGTGATAGGCCATGATAGGCCAGTCACGGCGTGCCAACGCATGTCATAGTTTGGGCAGTCAAGGTTGGCCAGTCTTGTGCATCGATGTGCACCGCTGCTGTCCGTATCTGTCCGTTGTGATGCCATAGCATGCCCATCCAACGCATGCCAAAATTTGTTCAGTCACGGACGGCCAGTCTTGTGCATCATTGTGCATCAATGGGCACCGCCGCTGTCCGTTGCGACGCCATACCGCGCCCACCCATTGGAAAAGGTGTGAGAATGCGCATACACTATGTTCCGCTTTTCTGGTATGAATTTGGAAAAAGAAAAGACAAAGGAAAGAACAGGAAAAGGAAATGCACGGCGTTCGCCCGGCGCGCCCGGCGAAAAACGAAAAGGAAAAAAGAAAGGAAAAGGAAATGAAAAAGAACGGGGCAAGGATTGGAATGGAAAGGAAAAGGAAAAGAAAAAGGAAAGGACATGACAGGAAAAGGCGCTGGATGGAAATGGACAGAAAGACCACGACAGCACGCGCCTGGCGAGCGCCCGGCGTTCCTGGTGTGCGCCCAGCGTGCGCCCGGCGCGTGCCTGGCGCGCCCGGCCCGTTCTTTTTCATGTCCTTTTCATTTCCTTATTCTTTTCCTTTCCTTATTCTTGTCCTTTCCTGTCCTTTCCTTTCACATCCTTTCCCCGTTCTTTTTCATTTCCTTTTCCTTTCCTTATCCTTTTCCTTTCTTTTTTCCTTTTCATTTTTCCGCCCGGTGCGCCCGGCGCCGGGTGCATGGCGCGCGCCGGGCGAATGCCGTGCATTTCCTTTTCCTTTCCTTATCCTTTTCCTTGCTTTTTTCTTCTTCGTTTTTCGCCGGGCGCGCCCGGGGCGTCCGGCGCCGGGTGCGCGCCGGGCGAATGCCGCGCATTTCCTTTTCCGTTCCTTCCCGTTCCTTTCCGGCACCCGGCGAAAAACGAAAAGGAAAAAAGAAAGGAAAAGGATAAGGAAAGGAAAAGGAAATGAACAAGAACGGGGAAAGGATTGGAAACGAAAGGAAAAAGAAAAGAAAAGGGAAAGGAAAGGAAAGGACAAGGAAGAGGACCTCATGGCCTTTTGCGACCAGCTCAGACTCGGGCAGTCTGATGCTGGCAGGGAAGAGGCCACAAGGCTTGGGCTTCCTTGGAGGTCGGCGGCAATCCGTTGTTGGATGGCCTTGATTGGGCTCTGTGAAGTGCAATGTGTGATCAGTCACTATGGCATGGCCAGTCTGGAGCCCCTAGCCCGCCTCTTCAAGAGAAAGCCCGTGGCTTTTTCGGAGGGGAGCAGGGAAGTCCTGGGTCAGTCTGTTGCTGTTGCGCAGCTAATTCCTGGACCAGCAGCCATGTGGAAGGAAGCCGCTGGACAGTCTGCAGGCCATATGGCCAGTCCCAGCACCGTGGCAAAGGAGGTCTTGGAGTCCGGACTGATCACCAAGATCAGCTGGCCGCTCACGGCAGACTTGGCTGCTGCTATGGTGGTTGTCTGGGACAGTCTGTGGCTTGGCTGGCCATCTCGCCCAACATTGACCAAAAGCAAGACTTTTAAGTTTTAAGGGAATCCCATGCTCAGGGCTCATTAGGTCAACTTTTGGAAATGTATTTGTGTGTGATTTGTGTGGGGGTCCAGCCAAATGGGGTGTGGCACGCTGGGACCGCTTTACTGCACCGATTCATGCACCATACCAATGTTTGGTTTAGGCCTCATATGGTGTCATATTGGGAACCCTTGCTCAGGAAAGCTGCCAACCTTCAGCACGCAGCTGTCGGGCAGTCTTCTGCGGCCAGGGCAAAGCCTCACTGGCGGGAACTCCTGTGATCTCCTGCTGCCGATGGAGCATAGTAGAATGTATCGCGGAAAAGAAATCAGACGGGGACTATAGGGGACTTTGGGTCCATAGGCCTGAGTAGCCATGTAGTAGAGATTGTGTAGGGATGTGTAGAGATGTGTAGAGTGAGCTGGTCATCAGACTTAGCGAACTACCGAACTGAAGGTATCTGAAGGTATTCAAGAAGTTTGGGGCACCTAGAACATCCTAGAACCAGCGGCCCTAAGACCCTGAACAGCACAAGCCTTTCACAACCCATACAAGACTCCTATTGCCATTTTCTATGCAGCCAGTATATTTTTACAAGAAGTCCACCCAGATTCGTTCCCCATGTCCCAAGTGAGCAGGACTCAGCTACACTGGCGGAATCCTTTGCCATGTGTGCAGCTCAGCTCATCCGGTGCATCAAGGTTCAAAGCAGATCCGGATCCCAGCCTGACCCAATTATGAGAATTTATCCGAATCTACGAGCAAATTGCCAGACTGAGAGTACTCAAGAAGTTTTGGTCATTTAGAGCCAGCGGCCCTAAGATGCCCCAAAAAAATGCTTTAAACATCTTTAAACATCTGTAAACACCCCTAACAGCACAAGCCTTTTGCATCCTTTCACCACCAACGAAAAAGACTTCTATTGCCATTCCGTTTTTCAGGCAGCCCATTTATGGTCCACCCAGATTCTTTTCCCAGGTCCCAAGGCAGCAGGACTCAGCATGACTCAGCTACACTGCGGAGGCCGAATCTTTTGCCACGTGGGCAGCTCAGCTCATCCGGCAAAGGCAGATCCAGACCCCAGCCTGACCCAGTCATCAGACTTCATCAGAACTTGTTAGCAAGTTGCCGCCTGATGTTGAAGGAAACTTGACTCTGATCCAGCTCAAGAAGTTTGGACCGCTTGGGGCCAGTGGCCCTAAGCAGTCCAAGCCTTTGGTCAGCAATAAAAGGCTTGCGTTTCCGCTCCTGGATTGCTTAAGCAGTCCACTACACTATATTTTGAGCTGTCTCATGATTGGGAATTGTGTTCTCAAGATTGGGACATATTGGGACATCTTCAAAGTGTTAGGAGATTGGAGAAGAAGTTGGACGGCTTAGGGCCAGTGGCCCTAAGCGGTCCAAGCAATCTGGGAGCGGAAATATAAGCCTTTTATTGCTGACCAAAGGCTTGGAGTCCAAACTTCTTGAGCTGGATATCGTCCTGTGCCTGTGCAGTTGGATGGATTGACTGCCCGCCACACATCGGTGCTCACGTTGACCCTCATTGTGGCCAGCCGCCTTTTTGTGCCCGGGACTGAGACGTTTGCACAGGTGTGACAGCCGCGGCCTTGTAAATCCCTGTGAATGTAGTCCCAAGTTTTTGGGGTGGCTTTTGCTCATCTATTCCGAGTTCGTGCATTGTGAGGTATTGTATTGCCAAGTCTTGAGGGCTTTCCCTATATCAGCGCCCGATAGAGTTACCAGAAGTAAGCAGTAGTTTTCGGCTTGACGTCGCATTCTGAAGCCGACGGATTGACTGCAGGACCACAAGGGGTCCACCCAAAACTGGGACCCTCTAACATGGAAGATGGCAGTGGTTAGTATGTTTCATAACTTGAGCAGCCTTCACTGGTACCCCTATAGCAGTACTCGACCGTTACCCCATTCCTCAGTTCTGGTGGCCCAAATAAGCAGTCCCCCACTTGAACAGCAGCCTTGTTGGCATTTGCTGGTATATACTAGATGATACTGGTACCTGTAATTTTGTGTTGGGAAACTGAAGCCGGAAAGCATCCTTTTCATTTTTATTGCATTTTACTGCCACAACAACGAGAGCTACTACTACTACTACTACTACTACTACTACTACTACTACTAGGACGACGATGATGGCTGACTGGATGGGCCCCCTTTCAAACCATGATTGCTGCAATTTCGCAACCCAGATGAGGATGAGGATGCAGCTCAACGGTCATTGAAACGTTGATCATTGAGATGGAACTGATGGTTTCAAGTTCTGGGCAATTGGCCATGAATTGTTGTCGCAATCCTGGTGAGGATAAAGAGGAGCGAGGAGAGGAGAGCAGAGGAAATGAGAGGAGAGGGCTGAAGCACGCTGAAGCGACTTGACTTGGCGGCTTGGAGGTCGAGACCGCGCATGTGGAGGTGGAGGACTAGGAGCTTGGAGCTCCTTGGAGCAAGAGGGAGCTTGGACCTTGGGTCTCATACTTCTACTAATTCCTTTCGCACTTGGACCTATGTGCCACTCATGGTTACGCACCACGCCTTTAGGAAAACCTGAGAACAGGTGATAAAGAATATCAATACTAAAGATTTTCCGATGCTCATACCGTATACCGGTTCTTTGAAGCGCTTAAGCCTTTGATACGGGCGGACTTTGGGTGGCCTGAGGCGAAAGCTACAGCGGTCTCAGAGCGAGGTGGCGGGTTGGGTGTTTCCAGTTCCCAGATTCCGACTTTCCCTTCCCTAGCGTCTTTTTTTCCCAGAATCAGTTTTTGGGTTCCCACAATCGGATTTTGGGTTCCCTTGGTGATTTTGGGTTCCCGCAATCGGTTTTTGAGTTCCCTAGGTGATTTTGGGTTCCTTCCACGGTATTTAGGGTTCCTGCCGTTCTGTCTCTTTCCTTTTGTGGTGCTTGCATACTGTAAGCAATTGCACTAGCAGGTGGCGCCCAACGCCAAACTAGCCCCGTTAGTACTTCTAGTATTCCTTGGTCAAACTAGCTCCGTCACTACTTCTAGTATTCCTTGGTTGTGGCCCAGTCGCTTTCCTTTTGTCGCCTTTTGTCCCATACTTAGTCATGCCAGTTCGTCTTGGCTCAAATTGACCTTGCTCTCGGCTGTCAATTCCATGCCGTCATGGGAAAACGTCGACGAGGCCCAAAAGTGTAGCTTTCAACTTGCTGCGCAACATGTTCTTGCTAAATTTGTGGAACCCCCTTACCGCTGTGTGCCCACCGGAAGTAGTAGTAGGAGGAGGAGGAGGAGTAGTAGTAGTAGTAGGAGTAGCAGTAGCAGTAGCAGTAGCAGTAGCCCGCCCGTCATCGTTGCATTGATCGCTAACGAACAACGGGCGCCTTTGAATTTAGCCACAGCCGCTGCGGGAACGCGGATGATCGCAGAGACCGACCCAACGCAAACTCTCCATCGTGTCGGGGTGCTGAACGCTGCTCATGCGCTCCAGCTCGCCACCTTGCGGGCAGTTTTTCAGGAACTCCCCGAACCAGTCAGCGGCGATGGCGTCGTGTATATAGCTCTGCGGTGACCCATTCCTGTTCAAGTTCGTTCTCCTCATTTTGTTTCTCCCCAGAACCTTGTGCCATGATTTTCGTTCTCCCTGGCCTCAATACCACCGCAACTGAAGCCAAAGAATGCCAGAGGTCTGAAATGGTCTGAAGACAGGGCATGATCTTGCATGGCAACGTATTGCAGGTCTAGATATGTCTAGATTGATATAGATTAAACTTCATTTTTCAGGGGGGTCCTTAATGATTGTGAATTTCTTGGAGAAAGCTATGTCAGTCTGGCTGAATGTCTCCCGCTCTCAGAAAGAGCCTTAGAATTCCTGTCTTCGATTGGGAAAAGCCCTGAAGCGGCATGCAGCGGCAAGGTTGCTTGGATCCTTGGATATACAATGGGCTTGTCGAGGGATGCCGAAAGTTTGAGCAAGTTGTATGCACCTGTAATTTTCCAGCTGTGAGATGGCACTTCCCAGCAAGAAGTCCTGACCTCGGCACTCCAACAAACAGCGGTTCAAAATCACATGGACCCACCTGGCAAGAACTTGCCAGCAAGAATAGCTGTTTCAAGCTGTGCAGCCAGCGAATGCTGGCCGCAGCTCCAGTGAACATAAGTGGATGCTCGCTCGGACCCAAAAAGAGCCGTCCGAAGTCCTTTCGTGGCAAAAATAAATGTAATTGCTCCCCCCCCCACGTCCACCCCCTCCATAGGGGTGGCCATAGCCACGTGTCACTTCTTCCTTGAAGATTGGACGTGTGGTTTCTCCTGCTGCTAGCGCCACTGGTCATTTCTTTGGGCTGTCCAATGCTGCCCAGGGACCTTTGCGGCTGACTGATAAACTATTCGGGATAGGTTCCATGGGTTGGTACGCGGGTTGGAAGTCAAGTCTGTCAACAAAGGTGACGTGACTTGGGTATGCTACAGACGCCCAGGTTGTAGGGATCATATGGGTGTGTGTCAAACATGTGCAAGCACACAAATCAAGACAGATTTGGCCATGTTCCCCTTGATAAATCTTTATAGCTTCACAGTTTCACGGCTCTAGCGCTGTAGAAGGGATCATGACATGACTTGTCGACATGGGACAAGACCATCCTCCAGACAGTGATCACGGTGATCAAATAGTGACATTGACCAAATTTCGCAACTTCAAGATTTCCAGCTGGTCTCCCTGACAACCCGATGGTCCTGGTACATATGTCACACATCAAGCAATCACCCACGCTTAGAGCCTCTTGTCTCAGCCGGACTCAGCCGGACAGCGTCGCTGTCGGGTTCCCGGTCACCGCACGCCGCTTCGCTTCGCTTCGCTTCGGCCCAGGAGTTTGCACCCATTTGGTTCCAGAAGGATCCGAGTTTCACGGGTCCAAATGGGTCCAATGTCGGTAGTGAGGTCTGCATGGATCACCCTTTCTTTGAAGGACACAGGCCACAGGCCAGCATAAAGATGGCGTGAAGTAACAAAAGGCTTGGAATTGGAACCAAACAGAAACTGCAAAAAAAACACAACACATAAAAACATCGCATTTTCCGAAGACATGTGCCGAAACGCTCTGTGGATCCGAAACGGTGTTTCTCGGCTTGCGACCGATGCGTCGAACCTCGCTTCGGCAGGACAGTCGCGTGGCGATTTGCCGAAAGGATGGCCAAGAGGCGTCCGACCGAAAACGGGCGAACACGTGGGTTCGGCAGAGACCGCTGTGGTAGGACCGTTGACCCACGTGGATCCGTGGATCCAAATGATTTGGATGGTTCCTGAACAAAGATCATCTCAGAAATATGTGAATGGCATCGGGTTCGGACCGGTTCGGATTACCATTCTTCAGACCAAATAGGCGGTGCTATCCACGTAAGCATGACGTATTTCGAGGATACAGTATAACTGCTACTGATTTTGTGGTCGGTAGGGACAGGTAGGGATGGCTCGTTCAAATGTTCAAACGCGGACGTAGGGGGGCTAGGAGGAACAACATGAGGAACAACATCGACAATTGACCAACCAATGTTCTTGGAAAACACACCGGTTTGCCGCCCATACGGTTTGCCCGTCGAATTCGATCGCTGTGGTTCCTTGGAGTTTTTTGGATGTCCGACCTTTTGAGATCTCTCCATATGATCTCCAAACAAATTCTCCTTCAAGGACGAGCATTGGCCTGCCCCATGGCCACCGTTTCCCTGAACGTCTCGGTCCTTCGTCGATGTTTGAGTCCTTCGGAGCCCTGGAGCTGCTCCGAGCTGCTCTGAGGTGGGTGCCGAGCTGGTGCCGGTGGGCAAGGAAGAGACGGCCCTCTCCCTGCGCGGCCTGGACGAAAAGAAAGAGCGGTTGCTTCCGTCCACCAGACTCCATTCCTAGTCTTTGAGCTCCTTGGGTAGTGTATTGGCCAACTGAACAGGACCAGAAGAATAAGGTCTTTGACCGGTAGGGTGCCATGATTGAAGGCGGAGGGATTCCCCGCCCTAGCTGTCTGAATCTCGCCCAAGCTACCCAGGTGCCAAGCATGCGCTGGTGGCCAGTCGTCTTCTGCAGACCTTGCTGGAGAAAGGCGAAGGCGCGGAAGAAGGGAGGGCTGGGCTGGACCATTACCTACTGAAGACATGGATTGGCCACCGAACCTACAACCCTCTAACCCAAGCTACCCAAGAAGCACTCTGGCTGGGCTGCCGATGTTCGAGCCCTCCGACATTCGCCCATCAGACGAAGAGGTGGGTTCTGGCAGGTCGTCCGGGAGCTTCGCCACTGTTCCTTTCGTGGTGTCGGTGGTTTCACACACCTTCTCCGCTCCGAAACGTCCCCTGGTGGCGTGGGGTGGGGGGGGCCCGCCCTGGCGTCTGGTCGGCTGAAGTGCCATCAACGGTCGATGGAATTCCGTCCAGTTGGTACAAAGCCTGGTCTCCATGTCTCCGTCGACTGGAACATCCAAAGGGTTCGCGATACGAAGTCCGAGTTGCTTCGGCGCGAACCAAGAGGGTCCAAGAGGGTTCGTGGGACTATGAGACGTGAAGCATGCGACGGCTTGGCGCCGTGCCGACCGTAACGACGGGACGACAATACGGACGACATGTCGACCGAAGAACGACGTCCGCTTGGACCTCCGGTCGAAGACGATTTCATACGTTTGATACAGTCACAGCAAGGGGTGTCCAATGGACTACCCCACACTACCTATAGGCTTCCATTGGACACCCTTTGGATGGTCCAGGCATATTATACCTATATACATTGGGGTGGTTTCAGGGGTCAATGTAGGCAAATATGTCATACATGGAGCGTCTGGGTATTGACCGAGGATTTTTTTGGTACAAGATTGGGGGAAACGAGGGGCATCAGTGGGGCTCCGTGTGCATTTAGTTCATTCATTTTTCTACTCTTCTTGTTGTACCCCGCACTTTGGTCAATGTTACCCAGACTTGGGCTGAGCTTGGTGGCATCCCAGAAAATGGGCGGCAAACATGTAGATCTCAGTGAGTCGGTTCAGTGACAGGTGGCCAGTTGGTATTTATATATTTTCTGTTGAAAACTATAGGCTATTGTTTAGCACTTCAATGTATCAACCTTCCATCAAGCCTTGGAACCACAGCACAGACTACGGTTGCTCTGAAGTCCAAAGTTCAGCAGTGGCGTTTCCTATGTGGCATGCCGGAAGCCTTGTGTTCGGCCATGAATTGCCTCAATCTCTGGGCTGGAGGGATGGTCAATGACTTGGAGTCGAGTGAGACAACATTTGGGGTGCAACCCTCACGATTTTTTAAGACACATTTTCACTGATCACCTTGCGTATAAGGCTCCGGACAATCTATCGACCCAAACTCCAAAGATGTCGCCCGTCAGGGGCCTTGCCAAAACTTGAGAAGGTTGATGACACTCAAGAGCAGGTGCGAGCGAGATCGTTGGATGATAGTGGGTAAAGCCTTGTCACTTGTACATATGTTGGAATTGTCCGAACTCAGCATATTCCACTGCATTTCGGGACCAGGCACCTACCCAAAGGGACCCTTCGGCACTGGCGCGTGCTCTAGTTTAACAGAGAACTCGCCAACCGTTCTGTTTGTGCTGCTGTAGTACAACCTTCGACCAGGGTAGAAACATGCAGAAACTAAGTGGTTGATGAACTCCGACGACACAAACAAAGGCGTTGCGGCGTTGTGGAAACTATCTACAACCTCTCCGTCACACCATGGGATGCGACTGTGGGAGTTTGTGTCATGCTTTTTCCATGGCCATGTTTCTAACTTTCTATCGAACATCCAAAGTTCCAAACATTTGGGAACCCCCCACGATCGGGTCTTCTTCCTGCACATGTCTATCGAGTTGCTAAACCTTTGTCTCTGGTAGGACAGCTGTAGATCACCATCCTTCTCCTCCATGGGTGATTTTAGTTGACGTTGTCTTTCCTGTCGCATGGCCGGGCACCCCGTGAACGCGGCATTTTGTTTTTAGGCATGCCGCGCTCTTCACCAATTTTTTAAAGTTATGTTTACTCTTGGATTTCCCTCATCGAAATGTCAACATTGGCGAAACCATGCGAAACCCAAACAGTACAAACATGTTTTGTGAAGACAGCAGTTCAGGTCCAAGCACATGTTGTTAGTGGAAATCTGGCCAAACCAATGTCCGTGCTTTTGGTAAAAGAAACCATTGCATCCAGATGCTCCAAGCCTTATTATATAAGTAAAGTCGTTGGTTGGTCACCTGGGTCACCTCTTCCACAGACCCGACATGTATTTGTGCGGTGGTTACCTAGTTGGTGATATATCTTCAATCTCGCGGCGCGCTCTATCTCATGATCGGCCTCAAGACCTAGGCGTGATCTACTTGCCACAACAAACATGTAGTTTCTTTCTCCTATAGGACATTCCCAAACCCTGCGAACCCCATAGGGAAGGCCCTAATACAGACGGCTGCGCGGTGATGTATTGTTCTGTATGCCTTTGCCACGACAGACAAGCCACGACTGCTGCTTTGAAGGATCAATAAAGACGGAATGTAACAGTAGGGGCACCGGACCCCACCACTTTTGTCCCTACTCCCGTTGTTTTCTCCTGGTGCAGTGCAGCTCCCACCAGGCACCCAAGCAGATCAACCTGAAATGGGACGAGGAGGGTGCGGTTTGCTTGGGCTGGGCGGTGCGATGGGTGTATGGCGACATGCACTCGACGTGGAGTGGTGCTTTGATGACGTGGCAGACTAGGCAGAAATGTTGATGGTTGATGCAAGTCCCCATACGCCTTTACCTATAGATTTCTTAACCATTTCCATATTATGGTGGGTTTGTCAATCAGCCGTCAACAGTCCCACCGTGTCTTTCCAGCTAGTGGGTCAGATCATGTGGGTCACACTTGGTTTGATCATGGGTCCTGGACACCTTGATTTCAGGTGGATTCACAGACAGCCGACGTTTTCTGCAGTGGGAGGAGTTTTTGTGTTTGACTCATCGTGTTCTTTTGGGTTGGCACTCCTGGTCACAATGCCTACATTATAGTGGCCCCCACATAGATAGAAAAGTAGATCAGAAATGTATTGGAAACCGTTTCTATCTTTTTGGGGATCACTATAGGCCTTGGCTATTTGATAGTAATTGATGCTACTCATGAACGACCTGGTGTCCGTAACTTGCTTCCTTTTTTTGAACCCGAGCGAATAGCTGTTTTCCACCGCCTGACGCCTCCAGACAGCTGTGAACATTTGGAAGCATGAACAGCTATGCAAAGCTTGGCTCACTTCAGACTGGCTTTGAACTCCCTTCAGGTCACTTGCATGAAAGAAAGCTCCCCAGATTGTAGAGGAACACAGAGAAACATGGACAGCGAAGCATTTTCCATGTCAAGACCAAGTCCTACAGACCCAGACAGCGAAGTTGATGGACCACCCATAATTTTGTGGAGAAGATCCGTCTTTTCACTCCACTGCCGCGATGGCTTCACCAAACGGTGCCATGGAGGTGCGATGCGTTGGACGCGCCGAGCTTGCGTGGCCGAGACACCCTGTCCGGTGTCAAGGGATGTTTGTGTTAACGCGTGTTTATGGTTTTCTTCGCACCCCAAAGAAGACGCATTAAGATATGAGTTGGCAAAAACACTCCATTTCTTGAGGGTCAGAAGGATGAGCTGTGAATCCCTTTGAGACATCTATGGAATACTGCGTTTATGGAAAATTGTCGCATTGAAGAACAATGAGCAACCAACCATTGGAAATCGTCTTCCCAGAAGTAGTCGCTGTTTGCTTCCATGCTGGGGAGTGTATGTTATATGTTCTCCATTCCAAGGCTTATTGTACTTGTCCTTCCATGTACTCTATTTGTCAAGCACTGCACCATCTACCTGAAGAGTCTGTGCAGAGATTCTTCCCTTTGTGACGGGAAGTCTGATGCCACAGCAAGGGAAGTGCGCATGAAGTACGCATGAAGTAAGAGGACAAACGCGTAAGTAAGTAGCATTTGAGCCACAGGAAGCTTTGGACCTGAAGGCTCATTGAACCGGACCTCAAACGACAATCAAACATGTAGCAGTTGCTTTCGGGGCCGACCGCTCTCCGTGACCCGTGGGAGGGTCACCAAACCGTCCAGCAATGTTGGGAGGGTGACCAACCTACCGCGACTTTGCCCATTAAGCTTATGGTGTATCATGGTATCATATACCATGGGTTACCATGGTCGAACATGTGCACATGATTCTTGAGGAAGGCGAGTGGATGGAGGAGGCCTCCCGCCGTTCATCCGGTTCATGTTCCGGTCTTCGCTTCGGATCTCTTCGTTCCCGGCGTTCGCGCGCGAAACTTCGCTGAACAACTCTCGAGGCCTTGATCGAAGAGCGAGCTCGAGCCTTAGTTCAGGAGCGCTTGAGACCAAAACCTCGACCAAAGTTGCTGGCGGAGCAGTTTTTGCTGAACTGCCCAGTGCATGGCCAGATGAACCTACCCAACTATGTGAAGTTAGTGGTGGACACGCCCGAATTCCAGCGGATGAGACATATTAAACAGCTGGGAGTCTGTGCGCATGTCTTTCCGGGAGCCAAGCACGATCGCTACTTTCACAGCATTGGGACGGCTCATCTGGCCCTGCAATTCATCCAATCCATCCGGAAGCAGCAGCCAGAGCTGGGTATCTCCGATCGGGAGGAGGTGTGCGTGACCTTGGCTGCGTGACCTGGGCTGCGATGAATTTCATATAATTTCATGGAAGATTTCCTACCTCTTTTCCTTCGGATTTTATTTAGACGTTTGCAGGGTTCCGGGGTGTTTCTTTTCTTGTTTTCTTTTTGTCGTTGTCGGATATATCACACTGTGGAGAGAAGAACGTCATCTGTCCTCGGTGGGCCCTGCCGGTGAGGCTTTGTCACGACCTGGGTCACCCGTGCTTCTCCCACATGTTCGAGGCCTTCATGCGCCAGCTGGGCAAAGAGAAGCGAGAAGAGGCGAGGTCGATGTGCCAAAGCTTTGTCCCTCAAGAGGTGGAGAAGAAGATTCAAAGCTTTGAGACCTGGGATCATGAGAAGCTCAGTTCTGCTCAGTTCGTTGGCTTTTTGTCCCATGGGTCCCATCTAAGAACGATCTCAGACTATCTCAGAGAGCTATGGCGAGTAGTTCTCGAGTATTTTGGTGAATGCTCCAAATCTGAGGAAGGCATCTTTGGTCATTATGAAGAAGCTCATTCATGACCTGACGCTCATCGATGCTTAGCACCGGGTCGCGGTGCTGTCGGCCAAGAGACATGCTCCACATGCTGCGCTTCTCCGGACCACACGTCTGGCATCGCTGCATGGGCCCTCCACTCGGAGTGTCACACCATGAAGTTCATGTTCCATTCTCCCGTAGACCTGTTTGCCATTTTGACCCATTTGGATCAGCCTGGGTGTGTGCCGGTGCCGTTGGACCGTCTGAGGAAGGATCACTTGCACGAAGTGGGCCTTTGTGTCGATGAGGAAGGGGATGATTTCGAGCTCATCGCTGAACTCATCCACCCGCCAACCCCAGTGCTCCGGCGGATGCTCTCTGCAGGAACCTTGAAGAGCGGCTGGTCGACGATCATGAAGGGTCGAAGAGTGGAACGAGCTTGGATCTATGAGATAGCAACTGGGCCCACCGGAAATGGCACAGCCGAACAAAAAGAGATCCCACAGAAAGGAATCACGGTATGACGAAACGTTTTTTTTTCCTCTTTCGCAGAATGGAAAAGGGAAATGGATGGAAATGGGGAGGCCCACCACGATCATCCCCAAAACGTCGCTAAAAGAAGGCACGAAGTTCTTGATTGAATGATTGAAACCTATTGAAAGCTCAGATATGTTTTGACTAGACACACACTTCCACTAGACTCTAGACAGTTCCACTTCAATGAGTCGATCAGTGCCATCTAACCGCGGGGCTCGATGCGTTGGCCGGGGGTTTTTGAACCCTGCAGAGCTTCTGGTGTCTCACTTTCTCTGACGTCTGACATTCCACATGGTTCTTTGAGAGTCGAAGGGCTCTTCTTTTAGAATACAATACTTTTTGAAACCAGCAATGGCCTCCAACCTAATAGCAATGGCCTCCAACCTTCTAAGGTGAGCAATTGGAGGACGGGGATTGATGTGGACAAGTTCGACTACATGAGAAGAGATGCCCTCTTCTTGGGCATTCACAGACAGTCTCTTGCCCGCCTTGACCCACCAACCGCTCAAAAGATTCAAACACCATGCCGACAATTTAAGGAAGGCGGCAAAGATTGAGCTGGAACCTTGTTCAGGGAAGGGGGCTCGATGATCAGACCAGCTCATCTCTGTTTTCTTGTTAGGCATGTCATTTGCAGGTCACATGTTGCTGCGCCTTTTTCCATCCTAAACCGCCCGTCTCGGCCCGTCTCGGCCCGGGTTGGCCCGAG